ATATATATATATAATTATCTTGAATAAGATTCATTTATTTTTTTTAAGATAACAAGATTATTGTATTTCATTTATAACTTGTTGAACAATACAAGGAGAGATGTGTTTATAGTTGACTAGACCGACTTGAAACTTTGTCGCTTTAGCTAATCTATGAGCAACCAAGTTTGTTTGTCTAAGAGAAAAATTGGCCTTACAGTTATTTAACCCATTTAGAATCATTAAACTATTCTAGATAAATGCACTAAACTCAATTAGGTCAGTTTGGTGCCTATTTATATTGTGGTATACTTGAATGCAATCTATTTTATGTGACAAAGTTGAGGTTCTTGCTCTCAATCCACTTCACTGCCTCTTACAAAGTCAAGGCTTCACATTCATGAGCATCCAACAATGAGATAAAATTACGGGATCAGGCTTCAATAAAAGAGTCATTATGGTCTCAAAGGCACATACCCACTCCAAAGCAACCTTTTGCCAAGAAAAGGGCAATGTTTAGGTTACATTTGAAACCACCTGCTTCTAGAAGGAGACAAGTATGTTGGCACTATAAGGTATCTGATTAACAAGGTTCCCTTGCATAATGGTGAGCATTATGGCAATCCATAAGAGCATTTCTATCTTTAAGGACTATCTTAGTATAATTTCGTTCCACACCGTCCCAAAGTTTCTTATATTTTGTCGATCCATAAGTTCCACAGTATCATAGTAAACTTTGAAGCTTCAACAACATTCCAGCCTTGTTGACATAGTAAGATCAGATCCTTTAGACTTTCCATGTTGGTAAGTAATGGTGTAAGCTTGTTGACAATCTTTCTAATGTCCCAACACTTTTGGGCAAGTTCACAACCTAAAAAAGAGTGTCACGCATTGTCATATGGTTCTCACACATAATGTAAAGGCTAAAGTAGTTGACACCCTCTAGTTTGGAGGTTTGAATGAGTGGCGAGACAATTGTGACAAGTATGCTAGATGAAGGTCTTGACTTTAGCAGGAATATTAAGTTTCCAAATACTATTTCGTGCACCTTCTATCTTCAAATGCTCAATATTTACAATGTGGTGCATGAAACCTTGGTAAATAGACTTTATTAAGTAGTCACCATTCTTACTCCATCTCTAGGTCAACTGATCATCTTCATTAACTTTTGTCAAAGGAATATTATGGATGGCCTTACAATCTTCCTCGTCAGATATAGACTTAATAAGATTTTCATTCCAACAACATAAACTTGGTACAATAAGATCACTCACTTGCAAGTCTAGGAGATCAATCCTTCTAGTGGTGTGTGTAAGACCCACATCTTTTGCTCCTTCCCCTCTCAATTTCTATTTCCTTCCCTTTCTTAGTTTCCTTCTTCCTCTTTGAAACTCAAATGGCCTGAACCCTTTCTTTCCTTCACTCCTCACTCTTTAGCTATAATTACTACATTGTTGGTCTCATGTGCAAGTTGTTGAACCTTAGAAGTGCAAAGAAGTCGTTGAAGTTCGTAGTCATTCCTCAACCCTGGAGTTGTGCGGCTAATTCTTCTTCTCCTTTCTCTTTAGCTCAAAATTGGATTTTTCCTTCCTATGAGGTTGGGGAAGTTTCATGCATTATTTTTCCTTGAAATGTTGAGTTGTTGGTTGCAGATTGAGTTAAAAAGGTTGGTTTTTGTTGTTTGAAAGAAAAAGAGATGATTGATTTGAACAAGTGGTTGCATGTAGTTGTTCTTGTGTTTTAGGTGTTGTTTATTGAAGGTACTACTGCATTCTTGTAGTTGCATGTGTTGGGGATTTTCTGAGTGCAAGTTGTAGTTAAAAAATGGTGAAGAAATTGTGTTTCTGTCATAAACGGTTGAACCCTTTGGGGGCCGCGTGCAAGGGGAGCATTCCCTAGAGGCAAATGGTTGAGCCTTTAGGAACGGATGAGCACTTTGGGAAACGGCTAAGCCCTTTGGGGGTTGCGATCTAGGGGAGAATTCCTGGAGGTAAAGCGCTAAGCATTTTGGAGGCGCTGAGTGCTTTTTTGCTTTCATAATTTGATTTTATGTTCTTCATGAAAGTTGTAGCCTTGGATCTTAGCTTTTCAATGGCGTTGGAATCACCCAACAAAGAGGTCTAGAACTCCATATATGGCTATTTTAGTGAACAGGGGTCAAGCTATCAACATTAGTTATAGCTGTTGCACTTTTTGTAAGTTTTGACAAAGTAGATGATGGAATTAGGACTTTATGTCTTCATAAGAGTTGTAGAAAATATTCTTATATTTCATATGAGATAAGGATGAGCATGATAGGAGTAGTATAACTCCTGATATGTTATTTTATGTTAAGGTTGCCATTTCAAAATAAGTGATTTGGTTAGGTTGAAAGTTGTTTTGGGAGCTTAGGTTGATTTATGTTGTATGCTTTTGAAGTTGTTTATACGGTTGTAAAGTTTCTAAGTTGCTTGATGAAGATGGGTTGAGTAGTTCTTGGCTTAAGTTATTTATATGTTGTGTAATTGATGAAACTAAGTTGTTTACATGTTGTCTAGTGTTAAATTATTAATAAGTCGAGATGTATAAGTTGAAGTAGTTTATTCTTGTAAAGTTGTTAAGTTTCATTGAGTTGATTTAAAGTTATCAAGATGGCTATTGTTGTAAAGCTAAATGAAGGATGTCTATAGTTGTGAAGTCGTAAAGTTGATATTGTGTTGACTATAGTTGCTCAAGTTGTTTATTCAAGTTGATATTATGATGGCTATTGTTGTAAAGTTGTACAAAGATGCTTATTGTTGTAAAGCTTTATAAAAATGCCTATTGTTGTAAAGTTGTATAAAGATGCCTATTGTTGTAAAGTTGTAAAGTTGGGGACATATGGTGAAGATATATGTCCTATGTTGATACATAGTACTAAGGTGATAAGTTGAAAGTTGTTTCAAAATTGAATCCCTTAGTACTGTGTGGGCGACATGGAAGTAGTCGATCCATGTCATGGTTGAATGACTAAAATTGAATGAGGTATCTAGTTAGAGATGTAGTTTTTGACTAGGTACTAGAGGGTGTGTGGTACTTGGAGGGCAGTGGGTGGGCTAACTCCATATGTGGATTAGTTATGCAAGCCAAGGTCGTGGTAGGCCCATACCCAAACCCTTCTGCCCTGATAATAGTACTGGACCTCCGAGTCTAAGTGGCACACCTAAACAATAGCCTATTGTTGTCTATACCTAGTTCTCTTCGGAGTTCCTAATGATGCCCTATACCTGACCTGGTTAAGATAGGTTAAACGTTGGATTCGGTAGGGTTTATGTCACCTAGACTACTCAACCTCAATTGTTGGAGATCTCCTAGTTGTATATGCGTGATGACACATTAGTTGATATTGTATGTGTTGTTGCATTCAAATTGCATATAATGTTGTATGAATGAGCTAATATTTGAGCTATTGTGATAAAAACTGTGTGGTTATGTTGTGATGATAAGTTATTGATCACTAGCACTAGAGGAGAAGTTTTCGAAGTTGCTCATCCCATTGTGCGGATTAAGATAGTTGTGGTACTCTGAGAGCTTAGTTTGTTGAAAAACCCTCCTTAGGATGTTGTCCCTTAGAGTGGATGATGTGTTATTCTCCTCCGAGTTTAAGTTCTTCTCCAAATATGATCTTTAACAAAGTGAAAGATGTCCTTCTTTGTGAATAACCGATTTTATCTAAAATATTTTATAAAGAATGAAAATAAAATAAATGGTAAGGCAGATACTGAAAAGAGGATAAGGAGAAAGTTAGCAAAAATAAAGGGAGGATGATGTAGTGGTTAAGTAGTGACTGAAAAATAGGAGATAGTGGGATTATGGCTGTTACAAATGTGGATAGCAAAAAAAAGCTATATAAGAGGAGATTATTAACTACAGGGGGATGGTTTTTGAAGCCACAACAGAGAGAAAAATTGCAAATTGCAGCAAAGAGAATAGAGAAAAAATTGGAACCGTAATGGAAAGAGAGGGGATTGACGGAAAAAGAAAGTAAGGACAGAGGAAAAAGAGAAAGCCACGTTGCGGTATTGAATTGTTTTTCGACTTTATTCTTTTTTGTTTCACTATGTTTCTGGTTTTGCATC